AAGTAACACTCGCGTAAACGTAGTATTTGTCAAGAAATGACGAACCAATAAAAAATTGCTACCGTATAGCCAGACTAGAGGGATTCTACCGTCTATTGATATACATCTGCGCGTGCGCGTGTGCGTGTGTGTGGTGTGTGTGTGTGTGTGTAGCCCGCTTTACTGGTGAGACCATTCAGGATGAGGAAGAGATACGGGCGGAGGGGGAAGAGAAGAGAGAATTCGGTGATATGCTCGCGCAGAGCGAAGGGAAGCGAAGTTCGGCTCGTGCATGACGTTGATTTTACGATGGGGGAAGGACTGGAAGAAGTTTGACGACGAAATATCACGAACAGTAGGATTCGAGAGAGGGGGGGGAAAGGCGCGCGCATGCGCATGCGCACACCGCTTGGTGATGCTTCCCGGTGCGCGCGTAGCGTAACCACGCTTCTCACACGTCGCCGTATGCGCCATCGAGTCTGAATATTGTTGCGAACAATTGCCGCCGTAACAGTAGTTATACAGTTCCCTTTGAGAACGCGCGCGCGCGCAAAGATTACTGTGGTTAAAAGTTTCGAATTTCAGAAAGAGGCGGGCGTTTAAGTGAAGCTCTGTCACGGGCAATTAAAGGAGAGGGAGACCGAGTTTTCTCTTTCATTTTGGAAAAACAAGTGGCCGGATTGAGTTGTCGGCGTTGCTCTTAACACCACGTTTGACGACCGTGGCTTTTTTCCCCAATTTCAACATTGACGATATCGACTCTGGAAAACCAAGGAGATTAAAAGAGGCGAAGGAATACCGTATCCGTAAAGCAGCGAAGATCTATTTTGGAAGGAGCAAACGGTTTAATTAAAACGGCGTCACTTTTGACACATTTGGCAACAGTGCCTTTCACTTTATAGACATTCGTTGTGTTAATTTGGAAAAGGGGAAATTAAGAAAGTGAAGAAGTATCATTAAGGAAGAAATATCTCTATTTTTTATAAAAGAAAAAACTCTGGCCCCGCTTTTGATATATTTGGCAACAGTGTTTTTCGTCGACATAGTTTCCATTAATTTTGGGATCCTCGAATCTCGATCTTTGTGATTCTTCGGCGAAACATGAAGCTGGTAGTTGGGAGCGTGCTCAATAAAATCGGCGATCATCATGACACACATTTGATGTTACTTTCGCGACGACTATACTTTTTGGACACTTTATCTACATCTGTGTTACTCCGTGGACTTCAGGCACGTCCAACTTCAAACATTAATCTTAATTTAGCATACCGCGCAACTTTATGGCGTTCGTCTGAGATTGTCTAAAATACGTACAAATCCTATTACATTATCGTTTTACATTTATAAGCAATTTTGATTTTTCAGTTTTGCATTTGCTGCAATTTCATGGCGTCTGTTTATATTGTGTGATATTTTCTCATAAGTGATATTTTTGTAAATTTTACGTTCGCGTTGAACTTCAATTTCCATGATTTGCATAAAGGTGCCTTTTCACGTTAACGCTCGACGCTCATTTTTAGCAAGTAAAAATCTTCAGAAATAATATCTTTTATTTATATATATATCCATAAAATATTATTACTTGAAGATATTACTTGAAAATAATTAATATTTTACGTATTTTGAAGTCTATGTTTGATTGTACTGGGACGATTAACGACGATTCAGCGACGACGCTGAATATTAAACAAATTCAACTTCATTTCTTTGACGCTAGCGTCAAAGCGAAACCACCACGTTCACCTTGTTGACGCTCATTTTCAGCGTCTCATGAATTGGCACCTTAAGTGTATTTTATGTGCAACAATTTTTTGAATTTATTTTTTTAATTTTAATTTTTAACTATTTTGAAATTATTTTAATTTTTAATGTCTGCTGCTTGTAGGATTTATATAAACATTTTTATGAATTATATTATTACATTTTGCGCGTTCTTAATTTTTATAAGCTTTATATTTATACTAAATATATATTAAAAAATCTTTAGTATGAAAATATGTATATGAGTATCTTGAGTCTTGGAAATATAATTCTAATGCAATTTTTAAAGAATGCTATTTAGTAATATATGTATATATACAGGGTGTAACAAAAAGGTTGTCCGCTACTTTAAAGGTAAATAGTACATATCAAAATAATGAAAAAAGTTTTTATTAACATGAACTGCAAATGCGTCTCCTATCGAGTTATGGGCATTACAACTTTTGATCTTAAATTCGGTTTATTAACGAACAGAATACGTTTTAAGCTGTCAAAATACGTATAAAAATTAAAGGTGTTTAAAATGGCATCCTCTTGCATGAACAATACCGAACATTGTTCGGTTCGGTACCAATGTGAACAGGATGGATGTGCAGAAATACATAATACGCCTGGTATCTTGGAACGTATTAAGGCGAACATGAGGAGACGAACCGTTCAAATAAGATTGTCTATTGGCTCCCTTTGAATCCTCCAACTTTTATCTCAAACATTTTTCCAATAAACCAACAGGGTAAAGTGCATATTTCGGATCAGATCCTAATTCGGATCAGCAAATTTGAAATGTTTCTCTAGCCGACTGTACCTATCATACGTGAATTTTTTTTCACTAATTGTCTATATCTATAAGAGATAGCTATAGACGATAGTGAAAAAAATTCACATATGATAAATACAGTCGGCTAGAGAGGCATTTTAAAGGTGATCCGAATTAGGATCTGATCCAAAATATGCACTTTACTCTACTTTCTGAGATATTTGGCGGAGATAATTGACACACGAAATAAAACTCATCCTGTATATATTATACACATGCGTCATGCATATTATACTTGTAAAATAACATATGCAATTATTTTTATATATCATATAAAAGATGTATATTATATATACATAATATATATTATATATATATATATAAAAAAAAATATATAAATATATATATATATATATATATTACGAGTTTCTACTGATATAAAATCATGTTATAATATATATACATGTATTAAATTACAGAAACGATAGTGACGTGCATAGTGAGCAGGATGTTCAGTTTTCACAAACCAAAGGTGTATCGATCTAGTACAGGCTGCTGCATTTGCAAAGCCAAATCTAGCAGGTAAAAATATTATTAAACATATGTATGTGTATGTATAACATATGTGTGTGTATATATATTTTTTTTATTGTATAAATATATATATATATTTGTACAATAAAAATAAATTATAATAATACTCTATAGTTATTAATTGTTATTTTAAATTATTATTATAATTTATGTTGATAATAAGATTCTATATAATTAAATGTTATTATTTAATAAGAGTTAATATCATGATACATTGATACTACAATATTACACATGTATTTTATTATTATAATAAATCCTTGTAAATTCTTTTACAGTTCGAGATTCACAGATAGTAAAAAGTATGAGGATGACTTTATGCTATGTTTTCAACTTGATGAGAGGCGCAGCGGAGAGATATGTAATGCATGTGTACTTCTAGTAAAAAGATTTAAGAAGCTGCCTCCGGGAAACGATCGCAACTGGAGACATGTCAGTATCTGATAATGGATATTCTTATTTTTATCATTTGAATTTTGATGTTGCAAATACAGTATAAGTACCACAATTCATTATCTAATAACTTTTAGATTAATTCTTGCTTTTGAGTCTTGTTTTTATCACAGTATAAACAAATAATTATCTACTCTAAATTTTTCCTCTCCCTTATATGTGGAAGGTGCAAGATTCCAAATCTTTTGCTTGACAAATGATTGCTGCAATATGAAGATATCCATGATTTAATATTTTAAACTATTATATTACATTAACATTTAGATTGCAAATTTTTCTTAAAAAGAATTATCTTTGCAGGTTGTGGATGCCCGTGCTGGTCCTGGAATTAAGTCGCTAACAAAATTTAAGGCAAAAAATAAAAGGAAACTTAAAGATAAACCTGACAAATTTGCTAAGAAGAAACATGTCTATGTAAAAACAGAAGCAGATCGGGAACAAAGCCCATCGATAAGCGATGATTTGAACGGTTGGTTAAATAGAAATTTTGCTTCTTAATCTAATATATCAGTGGTCGGAATAATATTACTTTTGAGGCAATTTTCGAGAACTACGCCTACTTCTCTTCCCTTACCTCTCCGACGAGCTCTACAACGGCCGAGTGGAGAACAGATTAATAATTAGGAAGAGTGACCCTCGTACACTCCTGCGAACATGTGATAATCCCAGATGCTTGAGCGACACGCTTGTAAGGCTCGCCGGCCGAGCGGAGAGGTAAGGAGAGAGAAGTAAGCGTAACTCTCGAAAATCGCCTTGAATGTGCAAATAATTCCGACCACAAAATATATGATTCAACATTTAGAAAATATATTAAAAAGAAATTATATAAATAGAAATAGAAATTGATTTCTCAATAATATATTATTGCTAATATTTAATAAACGTATTAACAGTTTTTATTTTTTGATATTGTAGAAGATTATAGATTGGCAGACAGTAAAGCTTCGAGCAGATCGGACAGTATTTCGGACGACGACGATGACATTGGCGCTAACGAAAAACAATTAGATCTCGTTCAAGATCAGGATGTGAATAAAGACGATATTAATTTCTTAGATTTATCTTATTACAAAAGGTAATGGTAAAATTATATAATTTTTACAAGTTATTAAGATGATAATAAGAAAAATTTTTTGTTGTCTAAGAATTTTAGAAATTAACATTTAATATTAATTCTGTAAAAAGATTAAGTATTTGAAAAAGGCAGATAAAATAAATGGTGAAAATTTTGAAGAATTTAAAAAATTTTAAGCAGGAGCCTTAAGAATATATTTTATATGCATTTGATAGATGATTTAACATATATTATGTTTCGAGTTTATATATTCACATCTTTGAATATTTCTTATATTGCAGATATGTATCTCAAATATTTCTCATATTTCCATTTGCATATATTATATATATATTTTTGTTTTACAGAGAAATTATTTGCTGTGGCAGCATTTTCAGAGGCGTCAATGGTGAGGTCATAATGTATCCATCTCGCCTGAAACCTTGCATAAACATTGCCAGACGACAGCTTATTACTTCTTTAACAGTCGCCAGTCCCACTCACAGTTCTGCGTCCACCAGCCCTGTCCATGGTGTTGAATCGCCATCGTCAAGTCCAGATACAAGTTCAAAACAAACGAAGACCGATAGTGACTCTTCGTCCGATTCCGGTTACGACGAATCCTCTAATCAGGGTGAGAGCAAAATAGCGAAGAATGTTCAAGTTCAGGCAGATGTGAAAATGATAGAGAAAGCTGTAACACCTATAGAACTTGATCAGTTATCAAGTTGCAAAACCTTACAATCTGTCAACAACGTGATTAATCAGTCACTTCAGTCGGTCTCCAATTAATGTCGGCCCTTTATAGAGGGTTAATTTATTCCTTTACTTATGAAGACACATACACACACACACGTATACAGGGTGTCTGTTAGATAATTTTTTAATCACAGTTTTCAACAAAACTTTTAATCTGGAAAATTTTACTTTGGCACTAACTTCAAAGTTTTTAGTTCTATGATACATGAAGTAGATTTTTGACATCTGATTCTTGCAGTTTACTTTACTACCTTCGAGTTATTTTCTTAAATCTTGAAATATCCTTTGAATTTCAATTTAGAGACGACTTCCTCATGGAGAATATTCGAATTTTAATTCTATAATAGGCTTTGAAAATCCTACTTTACTTATATTTAAATTATTTTTCATTATGTTACTTTGCATTGTTAATACATGAGGATAATTAAATAATAATAATACAAAAAAAGTTACTTTAGAAAAGAACTTTTTTCAGGATTTTCAGGATTTAAGGGAGATGTTTTGTATGTTTAATCAATTCCAATACATAAAAGGAATACTTAGCAATGATGAAAAATTTATCTCGAAAGTGAGACTGTTTTTAAGTTGTGTTCAAAACATGTCCCTAGAAATCTATACAATTTTTTTTACCGAAAACATTTTTTTCTAAAATTAATACATCTCATACCAAATACAGTAATTTGTTGCAGTATAAACGCGTCACCCTGTATGACTATAAGCTGAAGTTAATTAAGTATATACTATCTCCGGGCAGCCAATTGGTTCTGAAAGAATTTCAAACCTTCGCTTTGGAGGTTTAAATGCCATTTGGATGCAATTTATTGTGCTAAGGATAATTATAATTAATTACAGCGATGAATGGACGTAAACCGCCATTTCTCGAGACGATAATTTTTAAGTCTTATATTAAGCAATATAAACACATCAAAGTTCTGTGATGATATTGTAAAGTAAGAGACGCTCAGAATTCTTATGCCGAACTGCGATCCGAGCTGGCGGTTTACGTACTCGCTTTTTTAACACGTCAAGTGCCACCGCTTAAGGGGAGAAACATACGTAGGGTGTGCTGAGACAACCAAAGATAATGTCACGATAAAAAAAATCATGATAAAGCAATGAAACGTTAATATTTACAAAATTTTCTCATTTAAAATTGAATATTAAGTTGTTAAAATGTCGACATTAGAAAGTTTCACGGAACATTCCCTTATAAATTTTTAAAGCTTATTTTCTTAGATTTAATTCTTTTAATATTCTTAGATTTCAAGGTTTTTGAATTCCTCGCATTTAATAAAGATGCGATTATTCTGAGAACAGTTGAAAAAAATATTGGACTTTTTCCTCTTTTTTTTTTTTGTTTCTTTAAACTAAAATTCGATAGAAAAACGAAATTTCATGTGTAACGATTTAGTAATTGACTCAATTGTGAAGATATATTGTGTAAAAAATTGGAATTTTAACGCTTTTGTCGAGAGAAAACTAAATTGACAAACAAAACATTTTTTTGAAAGAATATCTGATGGTTGTTGCGGGATACCTCGTAAAAGTTCCAAGCTGCCAATCGATCCTCGTCTGGGTTCAAAAAAGAAAGAGAAGGAAACGGGGGAAAAAGCGGAGATTTCTTGTATTTCCTTCCAGATCATGATGCTCCATGACGTAAACTAATTGTTAGCGGTCATCTCGACGACCCAGATCGATAGCAATAAATAAATGCAAACAATTGTATAGCGAAGCGATTGATAAAGTCTGTTTTTAGTCTATATTGAGACAGTATTAATAGAAAAATGAAAGATCTAGATAGAAGAATTGAAAGTGGCAATCAGATTGGCAAACTGGACCAGCGAATCTTTGTTTGATAAATAATTTTAGAGAATATGATACTTATATACAGAAACATTTCTATGGAAATAAGAAAAGACGAAGAGAAGAATAAATAAGTAAAAACTGTTAGTTCCTAGTTAACAAAGAAGAGATGGGCATGCTTCGATCACACGTTTAGCGCAAAATTTGTTCAATTCTCATTTTATATAGGACTTTCACTGTTTTTGCATTGTCAATGGATCAATTTGGAGTTGATTTTTCTATAACGGAAACGAAGAACCGACTCTAAATCAATTGTAAAATTTATAAATTAAGAATGTTTGAGCTCATATAAAAATCGAGGGATACATTTTTATTGGACAGAGAAAGGAAAATAATCGGAAATGGTTGTTTGACATAAATTGGTTAATCATTTTCGACTGTTCTCTTTAGCGCTAAACACGAAGGAAAAACGGGCTAAAAAGATGTACAAGCCGAGTACCTGCTGAAAACAAGCCGCAACTGTGGGGTTGTTTTCAGAATTTTTTTCTATTTTTATTACACGCACAAAAAGAAAGGAGGACCGACTATTTGATGAAAATCGTGTACGATTCGAAAAAAAAAGATCGACATAAGATCTGCTAAAGACAGGATTTATATATCCGTGGAACCGATAATTTATGGGGATTAATTAAGCCGAAAATTGGTCCGAAAATTCGTGGAATTAACAATTTTTTAACATACGTAAAAATTTTATTTTACTTAATTAATTTTTTAAAATATGCAAAACATCACATATTCGGTGATGTAAAATACTTAAGGGGATGCTGGAGCCGTCTGTATAACCGACAAAATTACCATTTTCTATGTTATCGACTATATCTGTCCTTGTATAGACAAAGATATAGACAAGGATAGCACGCTACATTGCACGCACACATACGATGCACATCGACATTATACTTTTATATTACGCTTCCAAATCTTGATTTGGAGGGTTTATCGATGTTTTTCTTGTTGTGCAATTCGGGGGAACTTGTTTTCGCGTTCGTACCAATGGTATATCTCTTATATGAAATACATCTTGTGACGAGCTGACAGCTCGCCGCAACTCGAGACGCCATATTGGGATAAAAGTAGGATAAAGAAATCTGTACTTCCGTAATTTTTTCTCGTTTTCTATATAAAATCGGAGTTCCCCCGAATCATTAATGTATGTACTGCAATTCTGGAGAAGGATTTTTAATTCTGTCAAATTAATACGACGCTACGTGCCGACAAAAAATGCCGGTAAAACAGACGGCTCCAGCATCCCCTTGTACTAAAAAAATTTATTGTATATTTTTATTATGCAGATGCAACGAACCACGGATTTAGAAATCATTATATTTCAAAAAGGAAGGAAAATGTAATGACTCTTGGCTTGAAAGTTGGATCTGATATGATGGGAAAGTATGTGCAATAATATTGTCGAACCCGTCCAGCACTAAGCGAGTCATTATTTTTTATATTATTCAACAAGAATCGAGCTGCTCATAAAATTCTTTTGAGTATAAGAATCAAAATTATTGAGATTTGGCGGTTATTGTAGTGGACTCAAAATAATCTTGTTTTGAAATTTAATAAAAAGATTAAGATAAATTAAATGTGATAAAATTAGATTATATTATATATTGAGATTTAAATTATAAAAATTAAAAGACATAAATTGATGTTAAACTTAAAATCATGACCGGCGATTATGCACAATTATTCAAAATTTTTGACAATCAAAGTTTTTAAAAAGATTATGGGTCCACCGTTGAGTCGCGAAATATTGCCGAGAAATACGTGGGGAAAAAAGCTCGTTTATTGCCCATCGGACTTGCGAAGGCTCCGACAATCGTATAATAATGTAACAGGAAGCGATAACAGTTTTTTCATAATCAAACATCGAAAAGTCTGATCTATCAAAGGATAACGCTAATCAATCACCTTTTCCCGTGATAGATCACATTTGTACATTCTTGTATGATCTCTATCATTTCTCTTTATTCTGAGATATAATATTGATAATTATTATTGTCTTCTCTTACTATGATTTATCGTAGTTAATATATGCGATAATCGAGGCTGGATCATATAGCAAGAAAAATATAAATTTATATTTAAATTAAATTTAGCATTAAATATTTGTTATAAATATTTAAATATAAATCTATATTTGAATTGAATTTAGCATTTAAATGTATTTATGAAGCTAATAAGCTCGGTAAAACTCAGAAAGCGGGTATGATTCCGTCTAGATTACAAAACAAATAGTTTTTTTTTATTTATTTATTTCATAAGTCGACTTATTTTTACTACTAAACATAATATTCCTTTTTTTATGTAAATTTATACGTACATTGTATGCACATATATTTTTATATGGCTCAGTGATCTTTACTTCGTGATTTTTTTAACACTGCCAGAAAATAAATGCGGTTGTCAATGAGAGATAACGGGAATTGCAATGGCTGGCAATATATCGTGCAAGTTATTTATTTCTCATATCCTTAAGTGACGAATTAGTATTAATTACTAATTTTGGCTATTAAATTGGTATTAATTAATTAATATTTTTAAACATTATTAGTATATTAACGGTATCTATATTAATTAATTGATATCAATTGTTAGTCAATATATTAATATTCATTCAAATAAATTTTATCAACCATACTAAATTTAAAAGAAATCGCAAAATGTTTTCACATTCAAATGTGGTGTGATAAATGGCGTATCAATATAACAGAAAAGTATTCGAATATATTTAGGAAAATATTCGAGTTTTAATGAAATGGAGGAAAAACGATTAAAATGTAAATTCAAATTTTATTTATCAGAGGATATATATATAAAGATATATGATACTGTATAAATATACACAAGTATATGATACAAAAATTTACAATGGAGTAGATAAGATATGATACATGGAAAAATACAAAATATATGAACACATGGTATAAAAAAACAATAAAACTGTAAAATTTTATACATGTAATATATCGCGGAGACAAACTGTAAAAGGAGCGAAAAACCAACGAAGCTATTTAAATAAAGAAACTTTTAATATACTGCAAATTTAAAGTCGCAAATTGTAAAAAAAATTCTGCAATTCTTAAATTGTATAATTGTGTAATGCAGTTTTTACAGTAAAAAACGTTTACAATCTTAAAAAGTCTTTTAAAAAGCAGATACAATTAAAAGTTATACTTGGAATTTATTGTAAAAATGTCATTTATATATCATGATTTTATAGTTCTGAAAAATTATTTCTCTTAAATTTTATTAATTATAATGTTTGGAAATCCAAAAATCCTCCTTATCAGTTTATCCGTCGATATTGATATCGCCGAGACATCATTTAAGAATTTGCACAAATTATTATCGTTCATCAATTATTGGGATCTCAACATAGCAAGCATATTTTTTTATTTTTACGTAATTGATAATTCGCGAGAACACACGCAACAGTGGCGTTTATTATCGAGTGAAAAATTTTTCAAGTCTATATAGTTGTATCAGGTTGATCGAAAAGTTACGCGTATCTCTTTTATTTGTTTTATTTTTAATCAGAGAATTTTTAGATCAATCTGGAGGGATAAAATAATAAATAATTTATATTATGATGTAAACTAGATATATTATATATTAAATAATAAATTTGATTATCGTAATAATAGGGAAACAACCAGATTATATTCACGAAAATTTTGATATATGCATTTTCTACATAGTTATTTGTAAAATATACGTATTTTACATATATAATAATATAATGTTCGCTGTAATTAAATTAAAGCGCGTGTTCTCGCGTGTTATAATTCGATCTAAGGACAGAAAATCTAAGCGAGCAATGATCTATCGGAAAATACGTGCAGCATAATTTACATCTCTCGCGTCTTTGCAAAAGTTTCGGGATTTCTTTTTTACTTTTATACTATAAAATTTATAACTAAATATAAAAATAATGGATCTGTATATATATAGGCTGCTAATAGCGCGCTCCCCGAACGCAGCCATAGAGAGTTGAATTATACAAAAATCAAGCGTTTTATATAAGAAAATTTAAAGACATTGAAAAACGTTTTTACATATACAGGCTGTTTTAAATTTTGATAAATTTATTTTAGATATATTTTTTATATATTTTAAATTTATAATAAATTTATTAAAATAAATTACTCTAACTACTTCTTGAAATCCTGCAATCTTTAAATGTTAATTTTTAATAAACGTTAACTGAATTACTTGCATGTACAAATGTAAATTCAATTTTAATATGTAAAGTTCTCAATGAGTTAGTTAATTGAATTAGATTATATCAAAATTCTCGAAGTTATAATATTTTGAAAAATTCGTGGAAATAAAATAGGAGTAAAAGAATGCAGGAATTTTATTTAGACAATTTTGTAATAGATTTTTATGTACATTATAAGAAAATATATCGGCATATTTTCCATTTAGAATAAATATATCTCAACTTTCAAAATTTCTACAAATTTCGAAAATCCTGAAGCTTTTGTGAAGAATTTAAGCAAAGATTAAGGATAAAATTTCGCATAAACATTAAAAATAACGATTATGAGACTGACCAATGTATTTAGCGGGTAATTTTTTTTTACAACAACATGTATGTATAAATATATGAATATCTCTGAACGTGCGTGTGTGCATAGAGATTAATCGGTTAATTTTTCATTTTTGCAAATATTAATCGCAAAACTCAAGTTACAACATGAGTGACGACTGCTATAAAATTAATATATTATTATTAATATATTATATTGATCAAGAAATTCATTCGTCTTTCCTACAGCTCTTACGAGTAAAGTTAATAATAAAATAATTATAAATGTAAAATAAAAAAGCGATAGATGATTGATAAAATACGAATGGACTTTTTGATCAAAGGAATCTCTACATTTATATATATATATATATATATATATATATATATATATATATATATATACACACACACACACACACACACACACACACACACACACACACACACATATACGCGCATTTGTATATATATAAAATAATTCCAATCATTGTGTAAAATTAGGAATATTATACATTGTGTATATTTGTAGGGGATATTATTAATATTATCATTATATCGCGCTTGCGTCGGCGATAATCTCGTCGGTTCTCGGTTGGCCGAAAGCATTCTTTTCGAATTTTGGCCGGAATGTTGTGCAACGG